ATAACGAAAACATATTAGAAGAATGTTGTACTTTCTTGTAGATCACATGACTTTGTTGTTGTATGGAATGCTCATCACGTTGAGTAAGTATCTATCTTCAAAACAAAGAAATATTTTGCCGAAGATTCCCACGAGTTCTTCTTTCCATATGTAATAAATGAGCACACATGCATGGAATAAAGAAACTCATTACGTAATGTTCACTGTGCATGTCTGTTAATTAATGTTGTAGTTTTTGTATCAAACATATTTGTTTGAATGAAATTACATACACTCGAGATATCGGAAGAATTTTAATGCATACAAGAAAGATCAGATATATGAAACATGAGGCAAATTTAGTTTTATATCAATATATGTAGTTGTAAGAATTCCAAAGAAACAATTAATGTTTCATATAATCATTAATGTTTATCAAATGCAATCAAAGTAAACCGATAAATTGCACACTATTTTATTTGCCTTCAATCAGGAAACAATTATTTTACCATATAATTTCTTCTAAATTTTACAACGATCATATTTTTTTGCCGGGAATTATGAACTTAGATTTTCAGACAACTGTAAAGCAGCTGGATTGACCAACTTTGGGATAGTTGGCCTAAACATGACATAAGAAGTTGCTTATCGTTTTTTGTTCTCAATATTTCAATGCTATCCATCTTCGGATTTCGGGATTTCAAAAATTAAAATTCACGAAGGCTTGTTGTTAGCTCTATCTTTTTAATTGTGCATTTATCCCATATCATATTTTATTAACAAGAAGTGGAAGATGACCAATGGATGACCAGAGAACTTTGCTCTGATATTTCATGCATGAGAGGTTCTACGTGCAATGTTTTAAACTTTTTGTATATCCTCTAGTATAACTAATCTCTATGGTTAAATGTAAAAGTTTTTTGTAAATTACTTTCTAATTAGATCATATGAAACAAAGGTTAACAATTCAAATATTGACATTTTATAATATGGTGACAGAATGACTGAACAAATTTTAATGCTTATTATATTCTTACTTATTCATTCATAAAAACCAAAACATCTGTGACACATATTTCTATATAAACTTATATATAGCTAAAAATCTGTATTGATGAAAATGTTTTCTTAAAAAGAAATTCCTCAAATCAGATATTATTAAGAAAAGCGTTCGGTCAACATTGAAACTTGGAAGGACAATGTATTCTACAATCAACAGTCTACCATTAGTTACAGTCTAATTAACTTTATCAACCATGCTTAGTGAGGTTCAGTATTAGAAACCAGAACAAAATATTAAGGACATCGACACCGAAAAGGTATTTACAATCATTATCGACAGAGATCAGGATGAGTTGCAGTACCGCATAGTCTATAAACTTTAGTTCTATCTAACAGTACATCATAGAGTGCGAATGATAATGTCATGCAGAAATAGTGTCGAAAAAGTGGTACAAATACAATCAGATACATGAGAGCATAACCCTACAACTTGACTGTCATCAATGAGTATCCACAAAGTAAAAAAAATTAAAAATGATGAAAAATTTGAAAACGGCGAAATATTTCAGTCCTACATCTAAATCGCATTAAATTGATGTTGGATTGAAAATCTGCTTTTAGAAAACACAAAATTTTCAAATAAATCTGTAACTCCAATTATATGTTGTTTGTTGATGAATGCCGCATGTTTTGTTTTCTTGATAATAGGTGGTAATTTTTGCATGAATGGATTACATTTTAATAAATGTGAATATTTAGTTAGTTACAAATTTAAACAAGTAATACACATTAAAATGATAATAAGACAAGTAAAAATTTCATTTTTTTAATGTGTAGGGAAATATAACATCACAAACTTTCCTTCATCCTTTTTGATATTTTTAAAATGTCCATGATTAGTTATAAAAATGTTAAAATAAACAAAATTTCAATTAATTTCATTGTTCCTCTCCTGGAGTGGTAATATCAGAAACTGGACACATTGTGCATTATCATCTCTACTGTTAACAAACTCATTTTTTGGGGTTTTTTAAATATCTGTTTGTTAAGTAATATCATCTGTCCCTTTATCAGCATGAGATGACAGATTTACAGCTCTAATTAACCATTTTATAATTGAGAGAAGATATGAAACTTTCACTCTGAAGGGTTTAGATGTAAGACTGTATCTTAAACACATTTTCATATGCCTGTATCATATATGAACAAATGGCACAATAAGGACATGAATAATGTCTATTAGACAACTTCAAATTGTGTGTTTAGAGTTAACAGTGTGTTTGATCGTATGTTGTGCTGTTACACCCTGTCCAGGTAAGGGTAATGTTGAGCGCTCACAAACATGTTTAACCCCACCACATTCTCTATGTGCCTGTCCCAAGTCAGGAGCCTATAGGTCATCTTCCCAATCTATAAAACTGTCCTTCCGCTGGTCTTGGTGGTTTTTTTGTGTTTGTTTATTCTATGGCTTTATTACTTTTCAACGTTTTATACTTAATTGTGTTTAAGCACCATTGTCGAAGAATAAATTCGCATACGTTATATGAAATGAAAGTACGTGTATTTTTATTCTATTTCATAATGTATTTCCATAATATTATTATGTTAGAATTAAGACAGAAATATTTTGTCTTTTTGTGACCATCAAACAATGTTATATTGTCATGATATTGCTGATTTTTCTTCGATCAATGGGTTTTTTATGATATGTAAGTAAAAAAACTAACCATCTTCAGTCGCTTTTTTATTTAGAAAGAGTACATCATATGTAAAACAGAAAAAACAAACTATGAACAATCAAGTACAGAAAAACCAACCATGAACAATCAAGAAAAAATCTACAAATCCATCAGAAAGCTGTGCATGCAGCCAATATAAAATCAATTTGAAGTAAACAAAAATTTAGTGATATTTAACATAACCAGTCCGTATAATATCACATATTGTTAACAATTACCATTTATAATGCAGGTAATTTTACCAGTTCGATCACAGATTACAGGTACAAATCAGTTTTAATTATCAAATCAACTTCTCAGTCAACGTCATTGTTTATTCAGATGGTCGCTATAATATATTGTAAAAATTCAATTAAATTTATCTTGTTTTACTTCAAAAACAAGTGGCAACCATTATAACATCAGCATCATTGCATCCTTCTGATAGAAAAAAATCTAATGTATTACATTTAGTTATATCGTCAATTATTGTGTCAGAATAATATTTAATTCAAAATCGATTTACAGCTCGTGGCTTTTCATTCGGTTTAATCCAGGTTACCGCAATGGAAATCGTTTCGCTCATCCTTGAGGTACGATTTGAGATTCGTGTTATATCAACCGTTTAAATGTATTGTCCATAGTTTTCGGACATGCCGAATTAGCTTGACCATTTTGGGTTTTTTTTTTTTTTTTTTTTTTTTGCATTTCAAAATTAAGCGGCTTATTCCCTATTATGAAAGAGGGTATTCATGGGGGTCCTTCATTTCTGTATTCTTTAATTTTTTTCGCTCATTATTCTTTATCTTTAAAAATAATGGCTATTCTGTAATGACTTGATAATTGTATTCTTGAAATTGTTCTTTTCTGTAATCAGTATATTTTACCCAATTCTTTAATTTTTGCAGTTATTCTTTATATTTTAGCACCCCATTTTTCTCTATCCTTTATTTTCTTTGCCCATTAATTCTCTATTCTGTAAACCCCATCCACACCCTCGTGAAAACATGACTGAATAATCAAATTTTTGTTTAATTGAAAATCAGTTAATTTGTATAGTAAACAGTTTTAATATCTTTTGATAGATTGCTGAAACCTTAAAGCTGATTGATTCCTAATTTTTGTATTAATTAAGCATACCTAATATGTATAGATATATCTTCATGTTTTACCATGACTCATTTATTGATTAATCCTGCTTTACAATTTTATACTTAGAGTTACCATTTACATAATATAAAACTTCTACAATAGCCTTTTCAGTGTGTGCCCGCAGACAAGGATCGTATTTACTCTTGACTGTTGACTTTTATTGGATTATACCTAGTTCAGAGTTGCAGGAATTCACTTGGTGATCGAACAATTACAATAACTGCTGTTTCATGCACGATAAAGTCGGTAAATAGTTCGCCGGTATCTTAAGGTTGACTACAGTACAGACCAATAGGTCTTGGTGTCTCCAACCAGCGAAGTTTAATCAAAGAAACAAAATTCCTTTTATTCAGTTGCAAGTACAATTAGCTTAAACACCCAGACATTTGTATTTCAAATACTTTTCTTTATATGAAAATTGCCACAGTTGTATTTCAAATATTTTATTATCCAGAATCGATAAGCTAAATAGAACAAGGTTGCGACGGAGAGACATTTTAACGATTGTATGCAGAACTGTGAAAAAAAATTCGAGTGCAAGTTTTATGTAAACGTCTAAAGGTCGTTTCCAACTTTTTACTGTATAGACGCAAAAGAAATTATGACAGTTGTTATATTGTAAACAACTTTGTCGTATCTTTGTTGTACTTTTACTTAATCATTTTATAGTTATGAAACACCATATGAACCTCGGGAATAATAACTTTCAGTGTCCTTTCTTGGTCGTCTTTTCAGATCAAATCTGTGTGGCCATAACTACCATGAAAAAAGAATAACGAACCATTACAGTTCAGCATCACGATAAAAATAAATTTGTAATAAAAACTTTTTTAATTAAACTGTGTATTTGGAAATATAGGTTCTATTCGTGTACAATAACGCATAGGGTCTATTCGTGTTCTAAAACATAGTATCACTTCGCAATGACAGATAACGGAAGCTGTTCATTGAAACTGCTATACACATAAGTACGGTAACCCTAAAAGCTGTTACGTATCCATTGACCTTTTATATAAAAAAACCTCGACGATGAAAAAAGTCTGTAACATGCTGTTTAGAGTCTTAAATGGTCAGATATATATTTATGATAAAAATCATCTAAAACACATCACCTGGCGAACTTCCCATGTGATTCCATTTACATCAGCAATATAAATAGAAATTTGTAATCTATTATTGTATGGAAGTATAACAGAAGCAAGAAAAGGTAAGACTAGTAGTTGTATGAAAAAGACTTTTAGTTCACATTCGAAATCATATTATAAATTGAGAAAAAATAACATATTTGATTTCCAGGTTAGTGCGTATTGGGTCGCTGCCAGTAACAAAATATCAATTATATGCGCAGAACTGTTGTACTGTATATTGTTTCAATATGGCTTGACGAATTTACATGTGATTTGTAGAAAATATATATGTCATTTATATGTATAACAACCCTAAATCCCGTGATACAAACAAAAGTCAAATGTTTGTTCCTCTGTCCAATGTTCAGGACGAATTAGATTGCTTTTTCATCCTATTGTGGTGTTTTCTTCTTCGTCGTTTTCCTTTGATGGATGACAGATCATAAGTGATGGGACCTACTGGAAATACATCAAAGGTAAATATTGATTTCAGGATAATTGGAAACAAACCGATTTTAATTATGATAGGGATGATTGGTGAGAATAGATTTTACAGACAAATAGATGTATTGCTGTTAATAAATCTAACTTTAGATATGTATTTTTTTAACAATCATTAGTATTTGTAAAGTATACGCGATAACACTCTTACTATCTGGTGTTATGGTTGCGTGACAATCAAGATCGACAATGGTTTCATGGGAATCTAAGTTTACATGTGTTATAACGCGCTGTATATAGAGAATATTATATTATATCATGTACTGTGTTACAACTCTAGATTCTACTGACGAGGAAAGGTAACACTAGGCCACCAAAAGCTGAATTTTTAGTTCAGTCTAGGTGGTCGAGTAGTCTAGAGCGATGGACACAGTGCAGGCGGTGTTGTCTCGATGTCCCAATAGCATGAGTTCGAATCCCGGCGAGGGAAGAACAAAAATTTGCTTCCGCAAATTTGCAGATTTAACATTGTTGTGCTGATATTTAGAGTAGTTGAGAATATTATATTATATAGTCTTTTCAATATTACAACTGTATCAACCCGAGACACCAATATAAGACCGAGGGATCTGCTCGAGAGATAATATTGGTCAAGGGTTGATAAAGTGTGTGATAGTTTAAATGTGATAGTTTAAAGAGACGTTGTTCTGCGAGACATGACGTAAAACATATTTTTGGGATTGATGAAGCCTATGCAACTATGACTGATATCGGTGTCATCTCGAATGCCTATACTACAAAACGATTTCCATTCAGTGTATTATACATAAAATTTATTTATATCTTCTTATATATCATTAAAATTATTGCGATGTAGCTGGGACCAATATGTATAGATTGTTTGGGTTTCTAAACACCGATATCTTCAAATATCAGCCGCGAGCCACAATGTGAACCTTTCTGGCGAGTGAGCGTAGAGAACAAGTAAGAAAGCTCCACATTGTGTCGGGCGGTTTTATACATCTATGGTTTTCTTTCTTGGACAATCTTGACGGTGCGATTCCTTCTATCAAAACAGTTGTTTCGAAAGTTCATACCATGTTTTACAAGTACATACATAATTATAACTATATAAGGCATGTTTTTATCGGATTTTTTTCTCTCTTTTCCAACTTGAAAGTAATGGTTGTGAACAAGTATACTCCATAAAATTGCTCCTCATAAACTGTTAAAGTTATTGCTAAACGGTTCTAAAATATCTATCAACGTCCTGTATCCCCCCTTTTGACCCCTCTCCCCAAAAAAATTGTCTGACGATACTCATTTTTCAAACGTAAAAAAATACCAATCTGTTTATCACTCTACGCTAACTTTACCGTGCAGCATGCCATTAATCGGAAATGTAATTGCTTTCACTGCATTGAATGAAAAAAGTGTTGAAGTTTCCAACTAATCAATGGACGATACAGAACTCGTGCACTGGCGCCGCAACCATTTTTGCAACAATTAATGGCTGTTAAAAACATATGCTTTGTATTAATTCATTAGAGGCAAGAGATTCATATTTTTTGTAACTACAAAAAACTTTCCTAGTGAATAAGAAATGATTGCAAAGATCTATCAGCATAATGTTTTCATATCACTTTACACGGCTAAGTTATAAAAAGACTTTCATATCAAGAAAGTCATTTATAAAGTTAATTCAAGAGATCTGTACTAAGAAAGACAAATTTTGATTTCATGTTATGTTTCTATTTATAACAGGGATTTGGAATATTCTATCATTACAAGACTGTATAAACGTATCCCGAAGTGCTTGTTTATAGCTAAGCCGGGAATCATTATAATTTATCAGCATAGTACATGTATTCAAAACATTGCTCAGAAAAGAGAAATTTAAATAAAATAGGTTCGTTCTTTAACAAACGCTGTCTCTTTTGAGTCGTATTTATGTTTTATGTATCAGATTTTGTGAAAAATAATTGTTTACTAAATGAATTCTATATTGGACTTTCTTTACACGAATCTCCTCGAAAAATAACACCAAAAAGCCGGGTTTTTTTTACGAAAACTTGATATACGGTGAACAACTGTTTTCACAAAAAATTGTATTCATGTATTCTGTAGAGATAACAGAGATTTGATGCATAAGAACATTAGAAAAAATCATACGCATTTAAAACATGTAAGAAATTAGTAGTGAAACATGAAATACCACAAGTATTTAGAAAATTTTAAGAGGTAAGAAATTATAAGTGTTAATGACACATATAGTGTGTATGTCTGTCTTGCTAATGTACTATAGTTAAAATGTTTTGCATCTGAATGAAACAGGGATAAATCCACGGACAAATGTAAAAGGAAACCAATACACTATATAGTAAATATTCTATCATTAAACGACATTCGTTTTTTTAAAGGATCAAACAGAATCGTGCACTTAAAAATAGTAAATTGAGAACCAATATGATAATTTTAATATTTTCAATTGTGTCCTTTGTCAGTATGCGAAGGGATTAAATATTGGAATACCATCAAATTATGTGCAAGAAATGTCCTAATTATTTTTACTGCAATACAAGAAAGATTTTTTTTTCTCACAAAAACTGTTTCACGCAGAGTTTTTCGGTTTGATAATGCAACATAAATTAAAAATACTAAACGCTCAAGTAATTAAAACATCAACCTTCAAATCAATAATTTATACCGCATATCAATAAATAACTTGGCATATCAACAGATGGTCATCATGCTTTGACATTTTTATGGTCTGCAACACATTGTTTTTGAGACGAACCGTATCATCGGCAGGGAAACTGAGAAATTATTCAGATGATTTAAGCACTGGATATACCAACAAATAAATAACATAATATTCGACATAGATTCCTTTACGACTCAACGAACGAATATTCAGATCGATATAAACAGACAAAGTCGAACATGGCCAACATTCTTTGTTGACTTTAAGAAAACGCCATCTGGACATTTAAGCACACAATAGAATGATGCAGTTGAGTGTTTGGAGAACAACATTTATGACATTTGTATAGGTTTGCATTCTATCAGAAATTACCTTGGTTTTAATCAACGTGCAACAGATGAGAATTTAATCAATTCTGCAACAGTGGTGATGCTAGGTGAAGGACATATGCCAGATATAAGGAAGTGAAACTATTTTTGAAGAAGCGGCAGTTTTTATTATGTTTAAGGATAACACTCTATCTTTTTGAGATTTTTCTTTTTTATATTTTCGGACAGCACAAAATATGAATCGCATTAGCGAGGCTTTAGCGTATCATTAACTGAAAAAGTTTTAACTGTTGCTTTATAACTGCATGGTGTCATTATTCATTAGAGAAGCTAGTACAAAAGTTAATAGTTTAAAAAGCTAATTAGAACAATAAAATCCCAATCTTGTTGAAAAGAAAAATCTTATTAAAACAAACAGGAGTTTCTCGTTTCCAGATAATTGTCTTTGGGAATGTGCTGATGATATAAGTTTGACAGAAAGAAAGCGACCAAGGGACGCTTAATTTACGGTTCGTCAACAAAATAAAAGAAAATCTACAAAACACATGTATACATTTCTATGGTCGTTAATTATTTCTGGTACTCATAAAATGCACATCCATTTTACGTCGACACTTTCAGTAACATTGATTATTAATTCTCACAGCCGATAATTGTGCGCTGGATTTTTTTTTAAAAGAGAAATATTGAGTTTTCTTTTTTAACGACCCGTGAAAAATTAAAAGCTGTGACAGTCGGGAAGACATCTATTTGTAATTTGAAAGGTTGAATCGTATTTTGATGCATTTAATTGTCTAATCAATAATAGAAACCAGTCAAGGTATCATTATTTTAAATAGCATTATAATTAAGGCAGAATTATGGACCATTACTATAATTAGAAATTAACTGTCACTTGAAGTGTGGATAAGACTGGTATTGTTAGTAAACAAAGTGTGTCCAGTCATATCCTGTCAAGATCTAACTAAGTTAACAACTTTAAAGACACGTGTTGCAGCCTTTAGGGCCAAAGAAGTATCAGATATTAAGGTTGTAGATCTATATATACACATAAACATCTTGTCGGTGTTTTTTTTCAAACAAAAAAGCTCTAGGGAGTCAACTAAATCCAAGACAATGACAGCATATGGTATTTATCCAAGGGCTTGTAAGAGAATAGATTAAGATAATCCGTATCGATAGTGTATATATATATATATACACTAGATTTGATGGGGAGGTATAATTTGAGAAAGATTTCGGAAATGATTATAACGTTGTTTTGGGCGGTAGGGCGGGGACATGATTATGATTTGTTGAGGATGAGACACATTTTGATCTATGTCACGAGAATTCAGAAATCGACTATTATAAACGAATATGCAAAATACTGTGTATTTGAAAATAAAATCTAATAAAAACAGAAAAAAAAACAAAAAAAACCTGCCTTTATCGGTATGTATATATTATGTACTTCACTGAACTTCACATAAGCTGTATAGACATGCAGATTTTGTTTGCTTTAAATGAGTAACTAATTAATCGTTTATCCCAAATTTACACCATTTATGTAATTTAAAGTGGTATATTCTTACGATTCGTTTAATATATTTTGTTATACAGATGT